AATGCCTGAAGTTCTTTCAACATGAGAAAAGATGTGAGTTGCTTTAGAATTACCTATGCAACTGCATAGGGCCACTGCTGTAAAGCGGGACTGACATCGAGGTTGGGGGAAACCTAAGAAAAGAGGGGATAAATCATGTATACTGCATTGAAACAGATGAGGGAGAGAACTGTTTAAAAAGAATATAGGATTAGGTATTATCTGCATGACAAGATTACAGAAAAAAATGAATAGTAAAGTGAACTGTGGACTTAGGGGGGATTGTATAACAATGAAAGAATCTTTTTTTCTTTTCAAAGAGAAAAATGAACTGTGGGGTAGGAGTGGCCAGGGAGGAAAATGTGCAACAATGAATGTATGGGGAAAAATTAAATGGGAAGAATATGCTGTAAAAAACACATATGTTGCATTTAAAAAATCACTAATAAAAAAGATTAAAAAACCAAATCTTATGCAAAGGTAAAAATCACCTTGACAAAAAAAAATTGCAAAGACCTTTGAAAACACATTTCCATTTTAAGTGAAGAAAGGGATAACAACTTTATTACTATGATCTTGAATTTTTTTTCTTCTTTCTTTTTAAATACTCCTGCAAATTAGAACCTTGGTGATGGAATGGCAGTGGTTGAGAGCTTCCTGGTGGACTTGGGGAGGAAAGAGAGGAATGATCGACTCCCAGAGAGGCAGTTTGACTCCATCCTGTGGGGCTGCTGTGAGTCAAAAATTGACTTGCGAGTGCCTCACCACAACTTCACAAAGAAGCACACGTGCAGGAAAATATTCCAGAAGAGGACAGACGTCTCCAAGATCCCTCGCTGCAGAGCAGCCTCTGACTCATGGTGACCCAGGTGTTTCTGAGTAGAACTGTGCTCCACAGTCTTTTCGATCGATCACCAGCCCTTTCTTCCGCAGTGCCTGTGGGTGGACTTAAACTGCCAGGCTTCTTAGAAGTTGAGCAAATTCACGGTTTGCATCATAAATGGTAGGTGCATTTTATCTCCTTACCTCTTTCTTAAACATCTCCAATGAAAAGCTCTTACTTTAAAAGTAAAGTGGCTTTCTCTGTCCTTCTTCCTCCTTCCACCCCCATATCTGTCACTGTACCCCTCTTTTACATGACGATGCAGCTCTCTGCCATTCCCACAACCACAGAACTGTCCGTGGAGGGCGTGAGCTGGCCGGGCAGGCAGCGCCAGATGGGAATCCATCAGCATGACTGTGGGGGCCATTGACAAGCACCGTGACTCCCTCACAAAGCACAGTGGCTTTGGGGGCTTCAGAGAAGAGGAGGGGAAAGGCACACCACACCTCCACCACAAAGAAGCAAAAATAAAAGGAAGGGGGGAAAAAACCCAAAGCGGAACAGTTCGTTCAGAAATGTAATTGAGACATCAAAGCCGTGTGAGAACAGTGAGTGATTTCATAAGAAAACTCAAAGGCCCCCAGTGAGGCAGGAACAGCACGGAGCCTCTCGCTTTTCAGAAGCTGTGGGGGCAGTTCAGAAGAAATGAAGCGAGCATCTACCCATTATGTGGTGGCATCCTGAAAGAGATCAAGGAAACGCAGGGGTGTGTGACTCGCTTGTGGCTGCTGGTGTCACAATGGTCAAGGCGATCACCGGCCTCCCTGGGGGCTGCTCCGAGTGCCGGCTGTAGGCATCCTGATGGCGCCTGGCAGGCATGGCTGTCTCCTCCCTGGTGGTTCATCCAAGTGTCTTGGATAAGGAGGCAGCTCAGGTACCGAGTGGATTCCAATGCTGCCCGTATTCTATATACCCTTCTCCTGCTGCCCCCATGCACGCTTGCTGTTCATATTAAAAAAAAAAAAAATCCCACAAGCTTATTGCCCTCAATGCAAAATCACTGTCTTCAAGTCAGAAGTGACTCAGAGCTGACCCTCCAGCAGGTTTTCAGAGGCTGTAAACTGCATGGGAGGAGAATGCCCATCTTTTGGCTAATGGTTGTTCATCTGGTGACTGATGGATTGAAACTGCCAGAGAGGAGCCCCTTTTGGGTTAACATGCATATCCTTATGGACTAGGTCACCATCCTCTCTGGAATTCCCACAAGTCCCCTGAGAAGCAGGCAAACAATGAGGCAGTGGCCAAGCAGAGCCAGCCTCTGCCCTCAGGAAGCAGACATCGCAGGGAGGCAGAGACAAAACACCTGATTCACAGGCTCCCTGAGGGCATTCAGGCTTGGCCCTTGGGTTGGCACTGAGTTGGACCAGGAGCTGTCCCCACTCAAGGAATAGCAAGCGTAGACATGGGAAAGGCCCTTGGTGTACTGGACCCAACAGCAGGCAAGGGTTTGGGGACAGAGGTGGTAGCAGCAGGGGCCAGAGCAGCAGATCTTGCAAGGATGCAGATTTTGGTCCGAGTTTTGGGGGGGGGGCCACGCCACGTGTTGAGGCTCAGTGGAGGCAGCTCTGCTGTGTTGTGTAAGGCCCTCTGAGCGCCCCTGCCCAACTCTCTACAGTCACCATGGCCAAGAGGGGCTGGTGAAGGTGACAGTGAGATGAAGCTCCCCAAATTCCATTGTCCTTCTAAATTTCCTGGGTCCCCTCTGCCAACAAACTTCACTTCAAAAAGGGTGGGGTAAATATGTTCTCAAATCTCAGAAATGTGGCAGGAGAGCGTGCAGGAAAATATCCACGTGACCTCCGGGGAGGGATGGAGTTCTTTAGAAAGAGATAAGAATCAACACGTACAGGTATGGGAAGGTAAGTGGGTCTACACCCACGGATATACATATGCGTAGCAGGGTATTTCTACCTATGTTTTTATGTATATTGCAAATAAATATTGTAGTGCATTGCCATTGTTGCGTGCCAGTGAGTTGGAACCAATTCGTCACTGACCCTCTAGCAGGTCTGCAGAGGCAGTTAACTGCAGGGAGTGAATGCAGGACGCAGAGCTATGACAACTCTCCAGCCATAATAACCAAACGCCTTGGGGGAATGAGTCCCTCCTACTTTAGTAACTGGGGTCTTAACAACTTGTGAGTGGGATCTAAGGCACAACCACTCATCTCTCCCTGTGTCTAAAAAAGAAGAGTGAAGAAAACCAAAGGCAAACAGAAACAGTTCAAAGGCTGAATGGGCAACATGAGCTCCAGCTTCCACAACCCAGAACCTGGAGAACTAGGTGGGACCCAGCAACCAGTGCCAATGGCTCTGAAAGGGATTTCAGTAGGATCATGGTCAGAATGGAGGAAAAATGTGAACAAAGCCTGAAGTAGGAATAATTTAAGAAGCCCAACTGTTGTTGTTTTTATGTGCCGTTGAGTCGCTTGCAACTCATAGCATCCCTATGTATAACAGCCCTAAACTCTGCTCTGTCCTGTGCCAATCGCACTGTCTCTGACAC